GGGGGGGGGCTGTATAATGGCAGGGGAAACACTGAACGACTCATAATTGTTGGTAACAAAACTTGAATCTGCTGATTGGTTTGACTCGTTTATTATAGGTTATGCAGTAGTTTTGGTAGTGAGTGTTGTGTATGCAGACCAGAGGAGCCCAAACAGGGTTCATGCAGGTTTCAGTAATTTAAATTTAAGACATTTTAAAGACCTTTTAAGACCATTAGTAATGGCATTTAAGACTAAATCGACACATTAACAGAAACATTCAAAAGGTCCCAGAAATTTTATAATAAAAACCTTTTATTACTATCAATTTAGTTATTAAATAATATTTAATTTTAATACAAGAACACTAAATTAAGTGAATGAAACAGTCATATCTGACTGCTGTGGACAGCTCTCAACCAAGTGAAAAAAATCACTGATATCAAGTCAAGTCTCATGAAAACACGCTTTCCCATATTTAAACAYCAAGCAGTGGACATGACTGAACTTCTGTTTTTTGAGCAGGTAAATGAGCCACTGTATGTGGGGGGATGTAGCGGCAAAGAGGTCAAAAACATGGAAGTAAACTGTGCCATTTTTGCCTGCAGTTATCATGGGATTTGTAGTTTAATCATGACCAGTAGCACACTTTGCACTTCATGAAGACAGATTTGCGTCAACCTCTGATTACGACTCTTAACTTTATTTATGCAGCCAACGGTTCTCAGGAATGATCAAAAGTTGAAAAAATTAAGACTTGACAAAATTAAATTTAAGACCTTGGGTGAAAATCTGGGCATTTTAAAGACTTTTTTTAGGCCTAAAATTTAGATTTTCAAATTTTAGACTTTTTTAAGACCCGGCATGAACCCTGCCAAACTGGGGCCAAGCCATTTGATTTTACCCATCAGCAAATGGCATAGTTACTAGATATCCTATGTAGAAACAGTATTTCCACTTAGTCATTTCATCCAATGGCCCAATGACTACAAGTGTAGTGAAGATAGTTTTCACTCTCAGTGCTGACTTTATCTTTCATATATTAAGATTAAACATGAAATACAGTATCAACAAGAGACATTTAGATTAGATTTCACCACACATGTAGATTTGCACAATTTATAAGGCCACAAAACTCATTTTATCAATTTATGAAACTTTCCATAAGTTATTGCTGCTTGAGCGTATGGCAGACTTTCTCCAAGAGCACAGACTAAAACAAAAGTGTGCCACTGCTCTGGCTGCAAGCTTAATGGCTAAAAATAAAAGACATTATTTTAAAAAATATTTGTATGTCATGTATTATATTTCTGCATTTGGCCCTCTCTGGGAAAATGTTCGAGCACTGTTGATCTAGAGGTTTTATAGTTTTGACTCTTGACAGCTCTCTAGGTAAAGAGTCACAGAAGCAAAGGCAGGAATGTGGTCTGACACGATGCCTGATCGCATCAAATATCTCAAATACTTTGTTTAATTTCTTACCTTCATTTTGTCAGCCTGAGACATATTTCCTCTCCTTGATCAACCTGAAAGCACAGAATCAGAAACAACCAAAACTGAAAACGTACAGTATTTTTTGTTTGTTTGTTTCGACTTCCTTTAGTTGTTCATGCAGTCATTAAGGCCTGGGGTGACTGTGAGAGACAGGAAGTCAGCTTTGTGCTCAGAAAGGCCTTCCTCACCACAGAAAAACTGTTTTTCTTCATCACAGCAGCCTCCCAGTCCGGGTTATGATACAGGATGATAGATGTGCTTCTGGTGTTAATAATCCTCCCGTTTTATGACTCTTTTATTACTTTATATCCAAGCCACTGTGTTTTTATTAAGGTAATCCGCATCGTTGTAACGATCTGAAACAGATGTGCGCGAAAAGACGAAACAAACCTATTGTTTTTCGGCACATTTAAGTAAAATACAGACATATTTAGATGTTAGCTAGTAACCAGAACAAGCCCCTTTTTTAGCTAGCTGCATTCAAATTAGCTGGGTAATTAGCTATAGCTAGTTACCCAGTGATTGGAGGAATAGGGGATGCTCATATCTTGTTTTAAAAGACGTATTACCCCACACTAACAGCTCATTAAACTGGTTAGCTTAGCGTTAACAGAATACACTAGCCGTGTTAGCTTCTCCTGGCTGCAGGATGTTAACCAGCTAATGTTAGCGCCGCGGGTTTAACGGCCACACGAACCGAATATTACCTCAACAACCGGACACCCGGTGATAAATAAGTGATGACGTGTTTAACTCACGGTCTCTTCGCAGAGTGAAGGTTGGAGACAAAGGCGCAGGGACGAGCTGCCGAGCAGACTTCTTGGCGAACAAGACACCTCGAAATTCTTCAGATTCCGGTGCAGCAGCGGCTTCTTGAGACCACAGAGCTGCGACAGGAAAGAGACGCTCTCAGCAGTGCTGTTTGCTGCTCAATGTGCTGCTGACAAATACAGGAAAAATACGATTTTGTTCATTTTTACTGAACTTATAAAGGCGAAACAAACCAACTGGTCTAGGAGGAGCTTGTTGAGCTGGTACAACTACATCAGATAATCAAGTTCGTTAGAATTGAACATATTTTGAAGCATTAACTTTCTATTTTTGTTGCATTTTTTGCCATTTACTGGCAAATACTTGTAAGTCAACCCTGCACCACAGAGATAACATAGACATTATAACAATTTCATACCGTAAAACAGATGGTGGCAGGGACTGCCAATTTTTCAACTGTGAATCAATGCGGTGCGCTGATTGGTACGYSGWATCGAGATTGTTGGACGAATGAGGAATTTGATTGGATGTCCTGTCCAAGATTTATCCAAGATTTACCTAGACGGAGCTGCCATGGCTTTAGCATTGTTTACAATTCAGCATCAGATACATCTTTAAAAAAATTAAACAAAATTCAATATCAGGCACTAAGAATAATTACAGGAGCATTTAAAACAACACCTACAGGAGCAATATTAGTAGAAATGGGAGAATCACCATTAGACATCAGGAGAGAACAGTTAGCGTTAAATTACTGGGTAAATTTAAAAGGNTTGTCATCCAATAAATGTGTAATTGACCAAATTTGTTTGTGCCACCAATCTTCCATAAACATAGATTTTCTTCCACTCGAAATATCTCTGTTGTTCCATATTTGAACATTATGAGGACTAAAATTATGTTTAAACATCATTTTCCACTGWAACAAAACCTGTTGATGAAAAGTAGAGAGCTGAAGAGGCAATTTAGATATTTTAAAATCACATTTCAATAAAAACTCAATACCTCCAACCTTTTTAAAAACAAATGTCGGAACTACAAACCAAATAACATCTCCATACTTCAAGAAGGACTGGAGCCACCTAATTTTTAATACTCCATTCATGATCTCCAAATCAATTGCTTTGATACCACCTTCATCATAGTTTTTTAAGAGATCACATTTTCTAATGTAATGGTGTTTATTTTTCCAAATGAAGTTAAAATTTATTCTGTTAATRTCCTTAATGAGCTTCGGAGGGACAGTTAGAGAGAACGCTGGATATACGTATCAACCTGGATATAGATTCAGTTTTTGTCAACAATGTTCTGCCAAATAGTTTCAAGTCTCTTTGAAGCCAGTTGTTCAAAGTCTTTCTATATTTGTCAATATTATCTTGTAAATTCTTTTTCTCACTAGTATCTTTGCATTTCGTAATCCACATTCCCAAGTATTTGATCTCTTTTTTGACCGGTATATTGTAGATTGTACAATCAGAACAGTTGTAAAGACTCATAATTTCACATTTATTTAAATTTAACTGAAAATCTGAGGCTTGGGAAAACATGTCTAATTCCTTTAAAGCAATGGTATTTGTTCTTTATTCTTTAAAAAAAAGGGTTGTATCATCAGCAAATTGACTTATGATTATTTTATGGTTATTTTTTTCTAGTCCTTTGATGTTAAAGTTTTTATAGTTATTGTCAGTAATTCTGTGGCAGTTATGAATAGAAGAGGAGAAATACTACAGCCTTGTCTGATTCCTCTCTCTAC